GATGCGGGGCTCGATCCCAGGACCCTGGGATCATGACCTGAGCTGAAGGCAGCCGCTTAACCGACTGAGCCACTCAGGCACCCCTGGTTTAGCTAGTTTTATGTAAAAATAGAGGTCTTTTAGAACAGGGGTCAGCAAACTATGACCTGGGGGTTCAAATCTAGCTTGCACCTGGTTTTGTACAACCCATGAGCTAAGAATGTTTTTTTTACATCTTAAATGGTTGAAAAAAATCAAACGAATATTTTGTGATATGTGAAAATTATTTATAAGCAATTCAAATGTCAGTGTCTATAAATAAAGTTTTATCCAAACAGAGCCATACACATTCATTTATATATTGTCTATGACTGCTTTCACACTAAAACAGCAGAACTAAGTAGTTGGGACAGATACTGTATGGCCTGCAAAGCCTCAAACATTTACTACTTGGCCCTTTACAGAACAAGTGTACCCCCATGTACTGAACACATATAAGGTTGTCTTTCGGTTTTAGGATTATATCTTTTAACAGAGAGTACATTATTAAGAGATGTAATCATCTCTTTTGAGTTCACTGCTCATGCCATGCTTACAAAGGATTGGCCATTTGTCTGGTCTCATAATACAACTTAGTTTCATACTTTCACAAAAGCTGTAATAAGTTCACTACTTTCACATCTGATACTCACCACTTATTTAACCAAAATCTGAGAATATCTGGGGCACCGAGATGGCTCAGTTGGTTAAGTGTCTGCCTTTGGCTCAGGTCATGATCCCAGGGCCCTGGGTTGGAGCCCCGCATCGGACTCCCTGCCTGCTTCTCTCCCTCTCCCTCGTGCTTGCTCTCTCTCTCTGGTGCTCTCTCTCAAATAAATAAATAAAATCTTTTAAAATGCCCCAAATCTGAGAATATCTATACTTCAAGTCCTATTAAGAGAGTAGTATTTCTCAATCTTAATTCTATTCCTGCATACCTGACAAGCAGGGCACATTCTTGTCACTGGCTCTGGTGTAGCAGTAAGTCTCCCTTAGGAAGGTAAGGGACATTGAATAGGCTGCTTCTCTGGAGTGTACCAGAATCTTATGGAGTGTGGGAAGGTCTCCCTCAGTTGATTCTGATAGGCTACCTCTTCCCATCAAGGTTCTATAAGAATCAATGGATCAGCACTAGGTGTTATATGTAAGTGATGAATTGTTGGATTCTACTCCTGAAACTAATATTATACTATATGTTAACTAAAATTTAAATAAAAACTTGAAATATAAAAAAAGAATCAATGGATCAGTACCATTGATCAGGAAAAAAATCCCTTTCTTTCTTCCTGCCAGAAAGTTGACCAAAAATTACTGCCAAATGGTAGTTATTTGCAGGTACCTAGTAATACGTACTTTTTCTGTTTCCTTTTAAACGTTCTGTTTGGTTTTATCCATCTGTGACTTCTTTTTCACTGTTTTTATCCCTGTAAACCACCTTAAGTCCTTGAAAATAGGTAGGACATAAAACAGCATAATTCTAATGTGGACTAGAGCTGATTGGACAGAATGACACATTTGCCCTTTTCATTTGATTCTTGCTTTTAAGTGATGTAAAGAGACCAAGTAATACAGTCTAGTAAAAAGAAGCATTTGAAACAGGTCTGACATGTCTAACAGAGTCAGGGGAAAGTCATACTTTTCATAGATTGTACACATACACACAATCACATGTATGTACATATGTGTGTGAAGAGGCAGAGAAGAGGGAGTGTGAGAGAGTAAAAATGAAAAAGGAATCCTGATAAAAGTCAAGGTAATTCATTCCAGTACTGTAGATGTAAAAATCTATGAACTGCACTTTCTTTCAGCCATTAAATTAATTTGCTAATGACATTTCCTCATTCTTTTATTTTAAGGTAACAAGACCTTCCTTTGAGATACAAATAAACATTTTTCTTGACTCTGAGAATAGCTTATTTTGGCTATGGTTTTATTTTAGAATTTTTTTGTGTACATTTTTCACTCATTGGAAAGAAAGATAAAATTAAATATAAGTTTAAAAATGTGTTGACTTTTTAAAAGTTTTTATTTAAATTCCAGTTAGTTAACATACAGTGTAATATTAGTTTCGGGTGTACAATATAGTGATTCAACACTTCCATACATAACCCTATGCTCATCACAACAAGTGCACTCCTTAATCCCCAACACCTAGTTCACCTATCCCCTCACCCATCTTCCCTCTGGTAACTGTCAGTTTGTTCTCTTAAAAAAAATGTGTTGACTTTTTGTGTGTGTGTGTGTGTGTGTGTGTATATATATATATACACACACCACATCTTTTTTTTTTTATTGACTTTTAAATTTCTGTAAGTTCTATGGGCACTTCTCAGTTTTGAACAACCTGAGAAAATCCATTTACTTTTCCTTATGGTTCCTTATAGACCAGGGAAGTTTTTTAGCTTCTTTCTGTTACAACCTGATTTAGTTGAGAATTTAATTTTTTATAGGGGCTAAACAGACCTCTGTTCATAGGAGCTTTTCTCGATTAGTACCCCTTTTCTCTTTAACCTACATTTTACCTTTCAACAGTTCAGATACACTGAGAAAGAGGCAGAGAACATGAGCAAGAAAGTGGAGGCTAAAGAAAAACAAAATCAGTTTTAGAAGTAGTCAGGTAGTCAGGGGTGGGGAAAGTTCCCTTGGTTCCCATTCTTCCCTGCCCAAATACTTTCCTAGGACTTGCCAATATTTAAAGCCCACAATTAGAGCTTAATGTATTCCACAATTAGTGCTCCATTCCTCCCTTAGTTTGAGCTAAACAGGAGCTCTCCTTGGACTTTATTTTTTTGGGGGGGAGCTTAATTTTTTCAAGCAAAATAGTATCATCTATATTGAAAACATATTAAATTAATGATATTCAAAGAAAAGAACACTTCACTTACCTAGGATGGTTACTTCAAAATGTCCAAGGCTCCGGGCACTCTTAAAGTCATCAAGGTTTGGGGGCCTTCCCTCTGGTGGTATGTACTTTGCAGGCTGAGAATTAAACTGCTCAGTAAGAAACTTTCTCTGCTCGAAAATAAATTTCCGTGGAATACTTTCAGGATAAACATGGCTGTAATGCAGGTGATCTATTAAGCCAAACTTTTTCTCTCTCCATAGCTGACTTTCCCACCTATCGCTTATAGTTTTTCTGGCTTTCCCTGCGGTACTAGTACTTGCAATTTCTCGACCTGTTAAAGACACAATGAGATAGACACAATGGACCTGCAAACTAACCAAATCAAGTCATTCAGGACAAAAAAGTACAGATTAATGAGGAATAGTTTAATTAACTTTAAAAATCAAACAGCCACATATAAAATGTAAATTGAATGTCCAAAAGATAATTCTTATTAAAGTGAAGAGAAAACTAAATTCATTTACAAAATAAACTTTTCCTCCAAAATATTAAAAACTGATACTGTTTTTCTCTGTTGCTGGAATTATGAAGATCTGTAATTACCTTCCTTACACTTTTTCTGTATTTTCTAAACTTTTTTTTTTTAAACTCTCTTAAATAAACATATATTCCTTTTATATCCAGTGACAAATTCAAGTTAAGTCAAATTCATAACTCTTATAGATGGGACCACCACTCACTATTGGTGGAATTTAAGCTTCTAATAAAATTTGTTAATCTTTGCTAAAAGGAGCCTGAACAGATACAAAATACAGTCTTTTTCATGGATATAACTCTCCTTCAAGAAAGCCACTTATTACATATGATACTCCTCTCAGATCTAAATAACATGGAAAACAAAGAGGGAACTAAACTCAGATGAAAGATCTCTTCAATTCTTGATTGTTTTCTATCAAGTCTATTTATCACTTATGTATAGTTTATCTAACATATTTAGTCTATAAGGCAGAATACAATTTCTCCCCTACACATTATGACATTCATTCATTCATTCTTTCTTTCAGCAAATAATTATTGAGCACTTATTATATATATTCCAGTAACTGTGCTAAAGAATTTGGTAAAATAATATTTTAACTAAATAATACACCCTGGGAACTGAAGACACATGGCAGAATCAGAAAAAACAGATTTTGGAACAAGACTCTCATGTTGTCAGTTCTGCTAGCTGAGACAAACTGACAGCTACTCTGTTTCAGAGTTTACCAAGTAGGTTGCTGAATTGCTTCCTTGCAGGTGGCCTATGCCTTGGTGCTTATTATTATCCTAGCATAAAAAACCTTGCTAAGGCTGAAGGGGGTTTCAATAGCAAAGTTTCAATGTGGTTAATATACCACTTCTGCTTTTGAAACATACCCTATTCCCACACCACCTTCTTAGTTTTTTAAAACCTAGCCAGAGACTTACTAAAAATTTCTTATGGGGTAAAGTACTAGACTGAATTGTAAGAGAAAATAAAGAAGTTGAATACACATTTCTTACTCTCCAAGAATTCAAACCACTGAAATATTACAAAAGAGTTTAATTCAAAATTCAGTTGATGAACACACTTAACTTCCTATAATAATGCTTGATAACAAAAAGGATAAAAAATGTAATTGCACATGAAAAAAGAATGGAATTAATCAAAGCCAAGAGAAAAACTCAGTTAATAGGACTAAACAGAACTGTAGAATGATTTAATCTTTTTTATTTTCTAAAATAGTTCTCCTTTCCCCAAACTAATAAAAGTACATAATTAGAACAATAAGTAGCTTTACAATGACTCAAGTTATAGTGAACATTCCTGACTTATTTGTTCTAAAATATAGCATGCAAATAACAAGTTATAAGCTATTCCAATTTTTAAAAATTAAATAATCATATATACCTTACAGGAAAAAAAAATCCTATGACTGACCCTGTCAAGAATAAGTCAGAATATTTGCTATGCTTTGTTCGAGTGCTGATATCAAGGACTGGCAAGGTACAAATGTTTATTTGAAAAATTCCTCTGAAAAATCCTGCTTTGTTTTTTAGTTTGGTAACTTGGGACTGTAAGTACCCTACCCTGATTATATGTTCACAATTATTACAGATGGATATGAATTCAATACAAGAGATACTGTCAGTCACTGTGAATAACAAGATTTCAAAGGCAATAATTAGGAGACAAAAATACATCTAGAGTTCAGGTTTTTCTAAAAATATGATGGAAAATTATGAACTGGAATTCTTTTATTTTTAGTTTGAATACTACTAAAATTACCATATGAAACACATTATGTTTTTAAGCCTAAGGCACAACAAAGATACAGGTTAATTCCCTAGTAAAATTATGTTTTTGCATATATATATATGTACTTACATATATATATGATTATATATTATAATTATAATAATAACTTATTTTAATGATTCATTTTACCCTAATTTCTGGTGAGAACAGACTTATGTTTTAGTGGGGAAAAATTTTAGTAGAAGACCACATTAAGGTTGTGAGGTAAAAAAAATACAGTATAAATGTATGTATGTAGGCATGGTAATTTTGTTTCTTCACAAAATCTGCTCTGAGCATTTTATTATATAGATAAAAATGATGGGCAGGGGTGTATGGAAGCATTTGGGAGGGTGAGGAGCTATTTTCTTTGCCTCTTCCCCCCTAACTCCACCTTGGTGTAAGATCTACAAGGCTAGAAAAGAACAGGGTATTTTTCACTCAGTAGCAAGTATAAAACAGACTTTTCAAAAACGTGTGTAAGTCAGAGGCTACCTGTAACATTTTATGATCTCAGTAATACTGTTATTGTCATACTCAACAGTGAAAAATTTAAAGCATTTTCTCTAAGATCAGGAACAAGACAAGATACCCTCTCTCATCACTTTTCTTCAATAGAGTACTGGGAGTCTTAACCACAGCAATAAGACAAGAAGAAAAAAAGGCATCCAAATTGGAAAGGAAGAAGTAAAACTGTCACCATTTGTAGATGACATAATATACATATTCCTAAAGTCTCCACACACAAAAAAACCTGTTAGAACTCAAAAACAAATTCAGTAAAGATGCAGGATACAAAATCAATATACAGAAATGTGTGGTATTTCTATACACTAACAACTATCAGAAAGAGAAATTAAGAAAACAATCTCATTTACAATTGCACCAAAGAATAAAATACCTAAAAATAAATTTAACCAAGGTGGTGAAAGACCTGTACTATAAGACACTGATGAAAGAAACTGAAGATGACACAAACAAATGGAAAGATATTCTGTCTTCATGGACTGGAAAAATCAATATTGTTAAAACGTCCATACTACCCAAAGCAATCCACAGATTCTATGGAATCCCCATCAAAATTCCAATGGCATTTTCCACAGAACTAGAACAAGTAATTCTATAAATTTGTATGGAACCACTAAAGATCCTAAATAGCCAGGGCAATCTTTAGAAAGAATAACAAAGCTGAAGGTATCATACTGGCAGATTTCAAACTATACTACAAAGCTATATAGTAATCAAAACAGTATGGTACTGGCATAAAAACAGACACACAGATCAATGGAACAGAACTGAGAGCCCAGAAAGAAACCCACATATATACGGACAATTAATTTATGACAAAGGAGTCAAGAGTATACATTGGAGAAAGGACAGTTGTTTCAATAAATGGTGCTGAAAAAACTGGAAAGTCACATGCAAAAGATGAAACTAGACTGCTAACTTACACCATACACAAAACTTAACTCAAAATGCATTAAAGATTAGAATGTAAGACCTGAAACCATAAAATTCCTAGAATAAAACATAGGCAGTAAGCTCCTAAGGCACTAAGACATCAGTCTTAGAGATGTGTTTCTGGACCTGACTTCAAAGCCAAGGGAAAGAAAAGCAAAAAGAAACAAATGGGATCACATCATACTAAAAAGTTTTTGCACAGCAAAGGAAACCATCATCAAAACAAAAAGGCAACCTACTCAATGGGAGGAGATATTTGCACATATCTGATAAGGAATTAATATCTAAAATACAGAAAGAACTCATACAACTTAACAATTTAAAAAAAGAAACCTGATTAAAAAAAGCGGCAGAGGATCTGAATAGTCATTTTTCCAAAGAAGACATACAGATGGCCAATAGGCACATGAAAACAAGTTCAACACCACTCATTACTAGGAAAATGCAGATCAAAACCACAACAAAATATCACCTCACACCTGTTAGAATGGCTATTATCAAAAAGACAAGAAATAACTATTGGAGAATATGTGGAGAGAAGGGAACCCTCACACATTGTTGGTGGGAATATAAATTGGTGCAGCTGCTAGGAAAACAGAATGGAGGTCTTTAATAAAATTAAGAGTAGATTTACCATATAGATTTAGCTGTTCCAATTCTGGGTATTTATCCAAAGAATACAAAAACACTAATGTGAAAAGATACATACATCCTTATTTTCGTTGTACCATCATTTACAGTATCTCCAATAAACATCTTAGAGCATGTCTCCTTGTGTACCCAACACATAGGTCAGAGGGTATAACATATTTGGTATTGTCAAATTACTCTCAAAAGTAGAACCACATTTATATAAGAAAGGGGAGCATGACTCTTTTTCTTTGAAATACTTACATATCTGCTTATATTATAAAACAAACAATAGAAAAATACATCATAGAATGAATTAAAAAGTTACCTACAGTGAGTGAGAAGGAATCAGGTGCAGGGAAGGGGATAAAAGCTAAACTTCTTTAAATATATATTCTTTTTCTATATTTGACTATTGAACCATGAAATAATTTAGAAAATTGTTTATTTAAATAAAGCAATCCTTAAGCATCAAAAGAAATGAACCTAAATATCTATCCACCATATAACCATACAGAGAGAAATATCACAAGTGGCTTTAATGAATAATAATTCATGTATCCCTAGTTGGCATATTCCAAAGACAAAATAATTGCAAAACAAACAAAACAAACCTTAAATTGTTTATAGTAAAATTGTTGATGCAAATGTTCAGGTGATTATTCTGGAACTGTTTTTATATGTGGTGAGTGAAAGCAAACAAATTACTATGTAATATTCTGATTCTATCATCTCCAGGGTCTTCAGATGCAAGATTCTTGCAGTGGAAAAAAGCCTCTTCTAGCTTTATCTCCTAAGTAAAAATTCTGTAGTTGTGAATTTGAATTGAAAATATAAAAATGAAATCAAGACATATTTTGTCTTAACTAAGCAACCAACCAGTCAGCTGAGTACATTTTCTAGTTCTGTCCACTGCAAAGGCC